TTTAATAATTTTATTAATTTAAATAGTTTATAATAAAAGAAATTATTATTAATTAATTATAATTTTGTAAAAAAATATACTATAATAATAAAAATTAAAAACAATAAATTATAATAAAATATAATTTTTTTTGAATTTTTAATTAGATAATTATAGTTATAAATTATTTAATTGAAATTCTTTTATAAAAAGTTTAATTTAATTACAAAAATAATTAAAAGTATGAAATTTATTTATTTAATAATATTGAAATTTTTTTATTATTAATTAGATATAATTTTAATTATTTTAAATATATTTAAAAATATTTTTTAGAAATTGTAAATGATTTTAATTAATTAAAGTTAAAAATAATAAGAAAGTAAAGTTGTGTTGGGGGTGGGGTGCACGACTTCTCTTATTGAAGTCGTGAACCCCCCCTACGATTTCAATTTTTTTTTATTTTTTTTATTAAAAACGGTATGATAATCGATTACAACATGTGTGGTAATCGATTACCATAACCTAAAGTCGTTTTTGAGGTACACGACTTCAACCCTGGTCAAATGAACAGGGTGAAGTCGTGCACGGGGGGCACGACTTCTTCAATTGAAGTCGTTTTGGCCCCCACGACTTCACTTTGAGTCAACATTTGCCCATTTTGGTAATAAAGATGGCATATTTGCCTAGTTTGGTGCAAAAGCCCGTAGAATTGAGTTCAATAACCAGGGCTAATTAATTAATTGAATGGGTGGATGTTTTGGTGTTTGGATGAAATAGGAATGGCACAAAAGGGAAAAACTCTAAGAAGAGTATGGTGGTGGCTTGGGCATATCCTTGACGATGCCGCAAAGAAGCTGGGTATCTGGGAGGTTGTACTCGTCCCTGAGGGAACGTCCAGGAGACAAAACGCTCACGTAGAGTTGTTGCCCCAGGTAACGATTCTCAGCATGCTCCGATCTCAGGTTCCACATTCCAGCATTGTCGAAAGTCAACATGATGGCGGCCCAAGATTTGGGGAAGACTTGAATGGTGTGTCTGCTCACGGCGTCCAGAAGGTTATAGTTCTTCCTTTTCTCAGGGCTCCATCTGCCTGGCTCAATGGCGACTGCAAAGAACGAGTAACCATCCAAATTGTATGATTGGACGGTTTTTCCATGGTTCTCAAAGATGATCTCGATGAAGTCGCGGAATGTGGCATTGATGACATTAGGCACCTTGGTGATTGAGTTCAGATCAAATGGGGGCTCGTCGGATATGGTGTTGTAGTTGAAAACCTTGTCAGCAACTCCGTAGTACTCAGCGAGCTTTAGAGGAGTTTCAGGATCTACATGTGAGACGGCATTGATGGCATAACGAAGACCTTGGACTCTGCTTACGGAGTTGGCGAGCTTGATGGTGCGAGTGATGTTGATCTGACCATAATGGTAAGAACCCTGGGGATTGGGCCTTGCAGCACTGGCGGTGAGGTTCCAACGGAAGGAGCGGAACTGGTTAAGAGACCAGGCCCAACCAACTGGCGATGGAGGGAGCTCCGGCGAGGCAGGGCCAGCACTATTGGTGTAGCGGATGAGGGCCTTGGCAGTGAGATCGTATTTGGTGAAGCGAGTGGAGGCGACCATGTAATAGTCCTTAGGGTCTTTGTCGGCGGTGACAAGGACAGTAAAGCATTGACCAACATGAACGTCAAGAGAGTCATAGACGTTTTGGACAACGTGGGAGCCTTCGGTCTCGACAAGCTTGATGGAATGGCCTTGGATCCTGAAATTAAGGGCGTCCTTGAGACCAACGTTGCATATTCTGTACTTGTAGGTCTTGCCAGGAATCATGGTGTAAAGGGGTTCATCACTGCCATCACCCTTGGCTGTTTTGCCATTGATGAGGACACCCTGTGGGCTACCAAGAGAGCGACCGGTGTCCAAGAATTTCCTGAGGATGGTGTGGCTCTTTGTGTACCAGTCACCCATGAGAACCCAATACTCATCCTCTGGATCAGCATATGGAACGGGAATCAAAAGACGACTGAAGACTCGAAGGCCACCGAAACCACCGGCTGCCCTGTGCAATCCTAAAGAAGGATAGTAGAAGAAAGTTCCAATTTGATCCTTCACTTGGAAGTGGTAGGTGTAGTTTGTCCCTGGAGCGATGGGGCATGAGGTTCCTGGTGTACCGTCTTGCCATGAGTTCTTCCTGTGTTGAATACCATGCCAGGTGAAGAGGAATGGCTCGTCAAGGTTGTTAAAAACATTTACCACAATGTTGTTGTTGCTTGTGCTGTTGATTTCGGGTCCTGGGAATTGGCCGTTGATGAGAATACCCTGCTGGGGCACTCCAAGAGGAGATATCGTCCCGTAGGTCACGTTCCATGTGTAATACAAGTACGGGTCTTCACCTTGCACTGCCGCCGCCAACAGGCATAACAACGACAACCACAATTTTCTCTTGCCACCCATTTTTTTTTTTTTCTCCTGCTCCTGTACACACTATTTTCTTCCTTTTCCTTTTTGTTTATTTGAAGAAGAGGAAGAAGAAGATGGTCTGATGCTGTTCTCCCCTCCGTCCCCCTTTTATACCATTTCCCCCACCTCCAACCACTCATCCTCCATTCCTCTCTCCCCTCATACATCGCTCGACCTCTTCTTATTTTTTGATTTTTTTCCTTTACTCGTTACATTCTCTTTTCAGGTAACAAATAAATAATGAACAAATATAAAAGTGAGTTTTTGCTTGCTTTAGACTTATAACAACAGGTAAAAGAAATATTTCAACACAGATTTTTACCTTTTTTTTACACGTATAATTTTTTTACTAATTTATTATTATATTAACATATTTTAAATCAAATAAAAAACAATACATATATTATTGTAAAAAAATCTATATTAATATATTATCAAAACTCAGACAAATGTAAATACTTGATTTTGAATTTACAAAAGTTATTTCAATTATATTGATCTTATTTGTATCCTTAATCTCTGAATTAGTTTGATCACTCTTGATCAAAGACTTAATTTACGTTGAAAAGTGCTTTTAAACATGGAATATCGTGGAAAACACCTAATAGAATTAATGGAAGAAATATATTGATTTCAATATGTATTCTTTAAAAACTCTTGATCTGTATTATAGATGGATTAATTATAATTTATAAATGATTGATTGAGAGTATATTGAATCAATTTAGTTCAATTGCCTAAAAAATTAAGAATTAAATATTTTAATGAGATGATGATATGATAGAGATTTACCAAAAATAATATTTTTTAAGTTATTTATATAAGAGGTAGGAAAGGCAACCCTAACATCTCCATACCATACTTTATACATTGCATTCTTTCAACCCATGTTGACTTCATTTTAGAGTTTGCTTTCTTTATCTTTACATTTTTATTCTTTTCTTTATTTTTAGATCTGAATTTTTAAACTTGATCTATTAAATTTTGAAGTGAAATAATATTATATATTTGTATCCTTAAATTCATAACAAATATTGATTAATTTGAATATGATTGACCATAAATTTAAAGACTAAGAATTTGAATCATTTCAATTAGAATTGAATTTTCTTTATTTTTTAAAAATTGATTTGGATAGAGTAATTGAAATATTTTGAATTTCATTTTTTTATTTGGATAAAAAAATTAATTTTTCTTTTAAGACAAGATTTTATTTTAAAATTATTTGACTCAACTTTTGGATCGGATTGAGTCGACTCAAACATGAGATTAAACTAAGTCGGTTGGATAAAAAGTCAAGACAAGTCACTCGTGATCATAAATAAAGATGAGTTGGTTTTAACCGACGATTAAGTTAAGTCGGCTTGGACTCAAAGTCAAGTCAAATTGATCTAAATTCATAATAGAACCATGCCTGTCCGACTTATAGTAGAATTGAGTCAACGGAAGCTAACTGTTAAAACGACTCGACCTAAGTTGAAGGTCAATATAATTGAATGTAACTGTATATAGTATTGGGTAAGCTACACAATTTAATGTAATTAAAGTATATTAAATATATATTGAATTTCATATTAAATTAAAAGAGCTTAATACCATTAAGAGTAATCTATTTAAATTTGAAATTATAGGTTAAGATAAAATATCAATATAATTAATTTATATAAGTTGCGCTATAGTCAAACATACTTCAACATTTTATACTTAAGGTTAAATAAAATATAGTTATGATACCATTCAACTTATTTTCTAATTCAGGTTAAATAAAATATAGTTACGAAACCAATAAGCATGTTCTAGCACAACACTTTTGATGAGTAACTTCCTTTTTATTGAAATATAAGCTTCCATATCTTGTATAAGATGCCATGAAATACATTTGAGTGTGATGAACACTGTTTATGAATTAAGACTTAACTCTTCTTTTAGAGGAGTTATGAAATTAATTGGAGGGAGGTTTGTTAAATTAGAGATGGTTAAGGTGTAGTTTAGTTGATGGGATTTTGAATGGTGTACATTGTGCTCGAGTCCATGCTTATGAAAGTATCTCTTAGTTCATTAATTTATTTTTCAGTTGCTAAAAGTTTAGAATGTATTGAAAGGCAACTTGTTAAAGAGAATAATTCTGAGTGAAATAATTTGGATCCAGTCTTTTGTGTTCGAGACCATGAATATTATATTTTAAGTTTGGGTAATCTCATTCTATGTAGATGACTTATGTTGTGAACAAATTTAGTACACTCTAATCGTCTGAATGAAAAGGAAAAATATATTTTGACATTGCATACGTGTATTTTTTTTATTATTTATTTGATATTATATTGACTGTACTCTAAATTCAATAAAAAAATTACATGTATATCATGTTAAAATATTGTAAAAATATATGTGATAATATGTATCATTATCTAAATGGAAACAACAAAGTGAAAACTAGATTAAAAAAATTTAGACGAAATTTTACTATGTTATTTTTCTTTAAGTAATTTTCTTCCCGTACTTGTGGTGGTAAGCCAAATGTTGATTAGATCATTGGACTTAAGAGTGTTAGGTATTACACCATCACTTGATTGGGTCACGAGTGATATTTTAGCGATTGGATTTTGTTTTTGTCATTTATTGGATATTATGATAGGGAATACAAAGAGGATAAGGTTAAAGAAACATATTTAAGTAAGACGGCATATTTAATAAAAGCAATAAAGGAAGAAAAATACTTTTAAAGACTCTTTAAAGGTAGATTGGAAGCTTGGGGTCGAAAGTCAATTTAGATAAAAAAAAAAAAATGGAAACTAAGGAAAGGGGACACTCTTAATGCTTTAGGTAATCGAATTTCATAACTTTTGGTTAGAACATTTTATATTAGTTCTTTCAGTTGACAAGGATCAATGGTAATGAGGGTTTTGTCACCATATTTACTTAGCCTTTGGAAATGACATAAGGAACATATCTTTTTATCAAAAGTGTATGGAAAAGTTTCTTTAACTATATATAATTTTGCCCAATGATACAATGCATAATAAAACTATATCATAAATTCGACTTTCGAACTGTGCAATTTAAAAATAATTTTTTTTATTAATTATTTTTTTGGATTGCACAACCTTAAAGTCATTTTTGACTTATGTATTGTATAGTTTTGAAGCTTTCTTACTTCTATGTGCAATATGAAAGTCATTTGTTACATAAAAAAACAGCTTGTAAACAATTTGTAAGTATTTTTTCATAAAAATCTTATGGGATTGTGTAATCTTTCATATTGTGTTCCATAAGTTTTCTTTTTTACATAAAAAAATTATTTCAAATTGTACAATGTAGAAACTTTTTTCATTGACTTCATCTTGACACAACACATAGACAAGGACAAAGAAGGCAACAACACCAAGAGGAGATCCAACAACAAAGAATAAGATGGTAGACGCATTGTCCAAGACAAGGTATTTTCTAGCTTTATTTAGTTTCCAAACTAATGAGTGGGAAGCTTGGAATGAGGAAGTTTAGCATGATTCCAAGGTCACCTCTTTAATACATGATCTCATGTTAGATTCCAAGGCTCACCGTAGGTATGAATGGAAGAAAGGCAGACTGTTTTATCAGGACAAAGTGATACTACCAAAGATTCTGTGATGTTCATTCTGATGAGTGCACACACATACAAAGAAAATATGGTCCAAACCTCACTCAAGGGTCAATCATTGTCAAAATTGATTATATACTGATTCTTTCATGTAAAAATCATTCATCATTAATTGCAATTGTAAAAACATGACCAAAAAGCTATACACTCAAATTAGCAACTTATCCATCATCTACAATTTGCAACTAGAACTAGTACAATGATTAAATAAGCAAATATGTAAAAATCGTTCAAAAATATAAACTAAGATGGTCAAACAAGTTTAAAATGACTAAACTAAGCAAAAGAAAATATCAAATACCTAAATTTACCTAAAATTCAAAATTTCACCACCTAAACCTACTTAGAACACTAAAAACAATACTAAAATTACAACTACTCTATCGTTACAACAACAAAAAACTACGTCTAAACTATCCTAACAAGTCTAATTTATTAAACTATGTATAAGAAAATGTACTACAATTCATTCAATTAACTAACTGTAAATTGAGCTAACTATACCTACTAAATTACACCACAACTTACTATTCTACTTAAAATACTAAATGCAACTAATCCTATTTTCTAACTCTAAAACTACAACTATGGTAACTACTCAGAAAACTAGAACTACAAAATATACCTAAACACTTAAACTAATCTTCTGCAGTAAAAACAAAACTATATAATGAAAATAGGATTATAACTTCTAAATGAATCTAAACTACCTAATCAAGTTTATCTTTTATTTATCTTCCAAATAAAATAAATTTATCTTTTATCTTTAGTTAATTTATTATTATTTTTTATTTATATTTTGAACTTAATCCATATTTTTTCTATTGTAGTAATGATGACAACATTTTATTGTTCTTATCCTGCGGATATACATGTTACAGAGATATAAAGCCAAGGCAGAAAAACACAAGAAAATATGTAGAACGCCATCTACTACTTAAATTTTAGAGTCAATAATAAAGATTCCTCGATAAAAAAGCATGTCAAATAAGAAATGTCACAGACGTACAAGTCTTCTAAGATTATTTTCTCTTAAATAGTTTAGCACTATAAACTCATTCCAGATATTTGACAAGTCCAATTCATTTTGCATGGGTATTGATGCTTGCACAATCTTACACCAGTACACTCCTTACGGACTTCTATGCAAACCATACGATAACCTTAAACAATTTTATCAACAGTCCAAAATTGTGTATATACCACACATAGTTTATGCAAGTTTCGTTTTCTAACTTGCATGTCCTTTCACTACCATTGTTATTAATGTTGCATCATATTTTTTCTAAAAAGAAAGCAAAAAAATAAAATACATAAATAGAGAACCCATCACATGTAACAACGTTAATAACAGGTAAAAACTAACCCATAAGCAGGAAACCACCGGAGAGCACTGTGATAGAAAAATCTGCAACAAGTAAATTAATTGTTATCAGCACCCAAACGAAGCATATAATCTCATCATGTAAAGGTTTGCCTTGAAAGTGAACTCAAATTATGTAAATCGCATCTTACAATAATAAAAATCTACAACGTATTCATGGTTCAGATATCACATTATCCTACCACAACATATATCATCCCATGACGGGGCAACGCAGACTTAGAATCCAGTCCACATATACAAGACTGTCTTTGAGAGAAACAAGAAAATACTCATTGACACCCACAATCCATTCTATCATGATCAAGATGCCTACTACATACAGGCCACCAGTTCAGCACTTCAAGTCATTATTGAAGGTGTACAGTCCTTCAATTGTTAATGGGTCAATTTTGGGCTTCAGTATATAAATACAATACCAATTATATAAACATTGTAAAGGAAATCTAAAATTGCTAAGTATTAATTTTTCCATGTTCCAGCAGATTTTTTACAAGCTCAAAAAAGAAAAGAAAGTACAATAAGGGGCCAACCTAGAACATCCATTAGATCGCAGATATAGACTAACATTCAAAATGAAAGAAAGATAAATCCTGTCCTCCTAACTCCTAAGCCAACACAATTGCAGTGCATATCACATAGGACAATTAAAAACATAGTTTCCAGCATCTATAAGAATATTCTGTGTTCCTGAAGAATTGGGGTGACGAATGAGAATGCTTGTGCTAAGTCTCCTATTCTTATTACCCGGTTGGGCAGCTTTTAAACACACCTGTAAAAAACATCATACCAAAACCAATAAACCCCAATGATCCAATTCCATAGCATCATATCATATTCATTCATCAATTATAACAACATGATTTGGTTGAATAATGTCAAGTACCTCACATTCATTTAAAGGGTTAGTCAAGCAACTAAAACGAGGAACCCCTTCACTGGTTCCAGTCCCCAAAAAAACAACTTCTGCTTGTCTTTGATCACCACCTAGTTCCACTCCGCCGTCTCCCTTAGAAGCCGCTGCAGCAACATGAACTCACAAGTCAACACAATCTGCAAGCAATAGCTTAGTGATGCATAAATCAACAGATTATTGATTTCATATTTTCAGAAAAAGAAAAAGAAAACAAATGCGTAAATTTCAACATAGAAAAGTGTTCCAAAAGAAAAAATAGGTTAAAATAAGGTTGCATTGTGCGAAAAATAATATAGTGGAAGTTGAATAGCTACTGGAGTGGACGGAAGAGAAGGCGGTGACGGAAGAGGGACGAGGGCGCCATGAATATGGAGAGCGACGAGGAGCGAAAGCGAGGAATGGAGAAGGAAGAAGACGAATGGACGCAACCACCATCGATTGATTGATTAAGTGTCTGTAGTGTTTGTCTTTGTATCGCGAAAAATTACACACGTGTGTCGTGTTGCGTAAAGGAAAAGGCTAACTTTAGAAGAATCTATTTCTTTGGCCAGTAAAAATAAATTACTATTGCTTAAAAAAATATACCTCCGATATAAACTTTTTATCATCTAAATAAATTTATAACCCAACTAAATTAAAATCAACTCAACCCAATCCAAACTCAATTCAACTCAACCTAACCAAATGCAACCTAAATCAACCGAACCTTAAAACCTAAATCATAAACTTTAAATCCTAAACCGAAAGCTGAAACCTACCCATTCCAACTGAACACAACGGAAGCCAACCCTAATGAAACGAACCAAACTGAATCCAATCGAATCCAAGCAAATTGAATCCATCCTAACTGAACCCAACCCACCCGAACCAAACCTAACCCAACCCAACCCAACCCATCCCAACCGAAATGAACCCAACCTAATCCAACCTAACCTAACCCAATCCAACCCAACCCAACCCAATCCAACCGAAACCATCCCAACCCAACCCTAGGCAACCCAACCCTACCCAACTCCACCCAATCAAGCTAAACTCAACCAAACCCAACTCCACCCAACCGAAAACAATAGAACCCAAACCGACCGAATTCAACTCAACTAAAACAAACCCAACTGAACCCAACACAACCCAATCGAACCCAACCAAACTGAACTCATCGTAACCGAACCCAAGCCAACCCAATCGAACCCAACCAAACTGAACTCATCGTAACCGAACCCAAGCCAACCCAAACCAACCAAACTCATTCCAACCGAAGTTTAAGGTTTAGGGTTTAGGGCTCAGGATTGCTCAGGACGGCTCAAGGCGGCTTAGGACTTAGGGCTTAGGACTTAGGGCAACATGAAGGGTATAATCTAGACCAAAATATTCATAATACTCGTGTTGTGGCATTTTGTCATCAACTTGTATTCCAAGAGCAACCCAACCTAAGCTAATGCAACCCAACCGAATCCAACAAAACCCAACCCAATGTAAACCAACCAAACCAATATGCAAAAAACTAAAATATCAAAACATATAAACAAGGATCCAATATGCAAACTTGCAAAAGGGGAATTTGTCACATGCTAAGCACTTCAACTCATGAAACCAAGTATTTGAATCAATATTGACATACTTCTTAAATTTTGGGTTGTGACCAAAATGAATCTCAAAACTCAGTCCATAGAATAAGCTGGAGTTACAACTATTTCCATCATATCACTACTACACAAAATATTATCTCCAGCAAATACCAATTGCGTTGATTGAACATCTTGAGCATAAAGTTAACAAGGGTGAATATCTTTGACTAGTTTGATAATCACCAAATGACAAACAACTCGATAGACTCAACATATTATAATTTGGGTTTGAACTTAACTGAGTTCCAAAAGCTAATTCATAAGATGTTGATTGCTTTCCAATAAATACCCTATTTTGGTTATACTAACTAATCATATGAGATCTCCATCACTGTCCATTCTCATACAAATACCAACATTATAAAGCAAGATAGTTAAATTTGAGAGTTTTCATAAACTAAGAATTACCTAAGGAAAAAAAAGATTAAAAAAAAATCTATTGATTACATATATGCATAACATAATACTCTTTACACAAATAATTCAATATTTCAACTTAATGATAAAGAAAAGTAGCAAACCACAATAATAAAGTATGATATTATACTAGTGTTAAATACGATTAAACTTGAATAAATGGTCAAATCTAACCTAAATTCATATAAGTTCTTAAAGTGAAAGCATTTAAAAGAGGAACTAATTTCTTCAAATAGCTTTATCCCTAATAAAATATTGTTAGCGTTGTTAATGAATGGCAAAAACTACATTAGTTCCGTACTCAGTTGACCTAAGATTCTAAAGAGTTCGTATGTTAACTTGTTTTCTTTACCAAGGATTGTAAACTCTTAAGAGGTTAAGAGTAAACTAGAAAGTCTAACAACTTAATCTTGATATATGTCAAGAGTATTGCACCATGCTAACTGCACATTAATCTTGTTTGTAAATAACGAACAAGTGAACAACCCAACATGTAATTTGAATTCAAGAATTTGGGATAGCGTAGTAATACTACTGAAAGAAGTGGGGAAAATGCTTGATTTTTCAGTAATAAATACATGGCTGACTTACTTCTCCATAACCATAGCTGCAGATAGAATTCCAACCTTAATCACCTTGTCATATATTTCTTTGTATGTTAACCACTTGTACTTCTCTGCCTATAGAGTCACGAAAAGGAAATTCAAGTCAGTTAAAAGCGAAAAATGGTCGAGATATGTGAAGAAAAATTTCAAAACATCACCTTCCATTCACAATTTTCTGGTGACCAAGCATTGGACTAGTTGGATATTTCTCAACAGACAATATGTAAAAGTACTACACACTCAGCACTGAATTGACTAATATTTTATTAATAAATCATAAGTTCGTGAATGAAATCCTGTCGTGCTACACACCACAAGAATGAAATCCTGTCGTACTACACACAATATGTAAAAGTACTACACACCACAAGAATGAAATCCTGTCGTGCTTTATCCAGTCTCATATGTTTCCACCACAACACAATTGAAAAAGTTAATAAAGTGGAAAACATCCGAAACTAAACTATATGATCCTGAATAATTTTTCCAGGAAAAAAAAAAGGAAAGATAAAGTGAAAGAGAAATGTGATTTTCCCGCCCACTCCCCCGCACTCATCAATTCAATTTCCTGATTTCATTTTATACACTTTCAACATTTTTAACAAACTTTCAACCTTTCATAAAAAAAAATATTTAACACACTTTCAACCTTTTATAAAAAAAATCTTATTTTGCTTTTTTTAATTTTTTTAAAACTGAAAGGAAAAATAAAAATTTAAACTATAGAAAATTTATTTTAAATAACTTTTTAAAATATTAAGTTTAAGTTTTAATTGCTTTGAAAGGGAAAAACACAAAAAAATAATTGAAGGTAAAAAAAAATTGAAATTAAATTTATTGTCATCGATTTTTCCAAAAATTAACTTTTGTTTTTGTAATGTAATTTTAATTTTGAACTTATGAATTATAGAATAAATATAACGGTTTAAGTAAAATAATGTAGTGTGAAAAATGTGAATTAAATAATTAATTGTTTTTATGAATGAATATTCTAATTTATTTTTTTAAATAATGTGATTCTTGTAACTTCTAGATATAAAAATAGAATAATAAGTATAATAAATAAAAAGACAATTAAGCAAATTAATAAACTCATAAATTACAAGGTTTTATCTTAATGTTAACTTCTTAAAAGGTAAATAATTTAAGAAAATGTTTGAAAAAGATTAAAAAGATTTAAATAAATTAAATGCACATTTTTTTTAAGGAAATAAATCAAATCTATCCTTTTAATTAATTGAACTCATTTAAATTAAGGAGTCAAATTTATTTAACCTATTTTGTTTACAAGTATAAATTTTTTTTATCCTATAGGTATTATAATATGATTATTATTTTACGTTTCCAACTTAAAATCATTGTTATTTAATATTTTTATAAAATATTAATTGTTTAATTACACTTTTAGTTTTCTATCTTTGTTTGGAAATTCGTCTTGTAATTTATTTTTTTCAATTAAGTTTTTATTTTCTTAAAAATTCATTCAATTTAGTCGTGTATTAGTTGATAGTATTTTTTACTTATTTATTTATTATTATTTAAGTAAAAAATATCACACAGTTGTAATATTATGTAGTAAGTAGTACCACATGCAAAAACAGAAACAAAGTTAGAAACTCGGTCAAAATCAAAAGCTCGTTAGTAAAAATTATAAATAAAAGAACTTATTAGTTAAAATCATTAAATGGAAACTCTCAATACAATAAAATCCTACTTTCCTTTTTAATGGAGTAGAATTCAAAGAACAATTATCAATCTCCACTGTATCTAGGAATTAAAATGAGAATTATAGTGTTTACTAAGTTAGAATTAATCAAAATTATAATTACCCTAAAATAATAGCTAAAATCACTGTATTAACACATTTACAAAATCAAAGAATTTTACTCTGTAAATCAAATGTCATAAAAACAAAAAATTAGACACTAAACAAAACTTTAAAAAAATACAATTAGATTAGAAAGATCCGAAATTAATTTACTTTTTTCAATTATTACCCTCAAAAACTCTGAATTATTTTAAATTTATTCGTTTGTTTTGTGTTTACAAGCCAGTATAATGCATAGAAAACACCATAATTATTTATACCACTTTGAAAAAAAAAATAGTGAGAAACATGAATTGGATATTTTGGTGGGAAATAATATAATAAGTAAAATTAAGCATCATGGCAGATTGTATAAAATTTAGCACTAGTTGTATAAAATCATGGACATGACATGAGTACGAAGAAAGAGTACTTAGTTACACTTAAAAAGTACATAAACTTTAAAATTCTCAGCGCCATAACCAATTAACTTCAGAGCTCTATAACCAATTAACTTCAGAGCTCGAGAATTCATAGTGTTAAACTTTAACTCTTTGCATGATACATATAACCCTTCAACAACTTAGCAACTTAGATGGTCTAAGAGCTCATTATGATTGTTAGAATCAGGCAAATCCAATAACCATCAGCTTACAAGATCCCAATGTTGACACCCTAGATGGTCTAACCTCCATAGCCTATGTAGACATCCTAATCTCTATTTATTTCAATTTTCCCGTGTTATAGTAGTGTGTTAAGTATTCTATGTGAGTGTCCAAAACTATTGTAATTTTTGTAACTTTTTATACCATGAATTAAACTTAGAGAGTTAAACTTGTTCACCAATTGAGAGGTTTTTATTATTTTTTCTACAAAGTCTTATCTATGAGAGAAGGTCCAAACATTATAATTAGAAGTTGTTTGCACACAGGTGACAACCATAAGTGATTTGTGTACTCACTATAAACAAAAGTGGTTTGTGCACTTGTATAATAAACTAACAACAAAGTGAACCACTAATATGACAACCATTGCATGA